GTATATATCAGTGGTTGCCTGGGAATGAGGGAAACAGGCAATGAGGAGTAGCTGCTAATGAGTAAACTGTTTCCTTTTGAAGTGATGAAAATGTTCTAGATTTAGTGGAGATGTTTGTACAACATTGTAAATACATTAAAATCACTAAATCATTCACTTTTGTTTTGTTTTGTTTTGTTGTTTTTTGGTAAGTCATTCACTTTAATAGGGCAAAACTTTTTGATGACTATGCAGTGTATTGTTTTATTTTATTTTATGTATTTATTTATTTATTTGAGACAGGGTCTCACTCTTCAGTTCAGGCTGGGCTTGAACTCACTATGTAGCCCAGGCTGGCCTCGAATCCAGGGCGATCCTCCTGCCTCAGCCTCCTCAGTGCTTGGATGATAGGGATGTGCCGCCACACCTGGCCTCATTGTATCATTTTAATGCAGAGAAAACACATACGTTCAATGTGTCAATTTGCCTGTAAGGCCCTGAAACCCTTCTTAGCATTTTTAGGAAAATTGACTGAAAGTAAACATTTGTTATTTTTTTTCTTTTCTATTTCAACTTTTATTTATTAGTGTATGTTCTAGTACATAATGATTACATCCCTTGTGGAGAATTCATACATGTGCATAATACATCTTAATCCTTTTTTCCTCTCCTTTCCTTCCTCCTCCCTCTATCTCTTGGTCCCCTTCCCTTCTAAAAAAGAACTACCTCCCTGTTTCAAATAGGATAAATTTTGTAGTATGGGAATTATGTCTCAATTAAAAACATGAACTTGTTTGAGACACACACATAAAATTCAAACATTACAGATATACTTAGAAATAAAATTTTTCATATACTCCCTTTCCTAACTTTGCTTACAATTTTCTTACTCTTATACTGTTTCATTATTTATACTGATATTTATGAAACAAACTAGGATCCTGTTATCCATACTGTTTTGTGACTTTTTTCATTTAGTATGACTTAATTCTTTTTTTTCCATCATTGGAAGAGGAAAACTTCCAAGCTGACTTTTTAAGGAATGTAGCTGAAGTCATAAAGATTAAAAGCTAATACCTTGACTAGATATTTAAAATTTTCTGTATGGAAAAACAATATAAATAAATAAATAAACAGACTAGAAGAAAATACAGACAGACAATATTGTATCTATGAGAAAGGGCTAACATTCTTAATACTAAGGATTAAGTCTCCTACAAGTTGGTTTAAAGAAAAGCAATACAAAAAACAATAGGAAAGATGGCAATTCACAGGAAAGAAAATATAAATGGCAAATATGCAAAAAACAAGGGTCAACTTCTTTGCCATCAAATTGTGGAAATTATAAAAACTAGCAATGAGTAGTACTGGCAAGAATGGGGGAAATGGATACTCCTGAATACTGAAGGGTATGTGAATTGCTTCAACCTTTTGGCAAAGTAATTAGGAGGCATGACCTTTCCCATCTATGGGACTCCAAGCTCAAAAACAAAAGGACCACTACTAATAATATGTTCACAAAAATGTTTACTGTAGCAATCATTATAAGGGAGGAAAAAACTGGAAACAACTGGAATATCTGGCAGTAGGTGACAGCTGAATAAATTGTGATTTATGGAAATTATGGTTATTAAGCATGTGTTGGCCCTGTGTGATTAAACTACTGGCAGTGCACAGTAGGTAGCTATGTGGAAAAAGGAAGCTATTAAAAATTGTACAGCATGATGCCATTTAAATAAGATATGTGAATAAGTATGTTATATATTGTTGCAGGCACAGAGAAAGCCTGTTAAATTTGGTACGTTTGGCACTTGGTATTTCATAATTTGATTTAAAAAAGCAAGTTGGGTCTGGGAGTGTAGTTCAGTAGTAGAGCACATGCTTAGCATGCATGAGGCCCGGGGGTCAATCCTCAGCACTAAAAAAAAGATGCCAATTAACTACATTCTGCTAATTTAAGCTTTTTCAAAACTAGGAAAGAAGTAAAAAGATGGGAGAAGTTAATGTTTTTGAGAAGGGATACTTAATATGGTATAACTAGAACATCTTATAGAATGTGAAGTATGTCAACACTTTTTATTTTATCATTGGGGATTAAACTAAGGGGCTTTGTACTGAGCTACACACCCAGCCCTTTTTGTTCGGAGACAGAGTCTTGCTAAGTTGCTAACCTCTGGCCCAGGCTGGGCTCAAACTTCCTGTCTTCCTGCTTCAGCCTCCCAGAGTACTAGGATTATAGGAATGTGCCACCATGCCTGGTTAATATTTGGGCTTCTTACAGATGTAGATGAAAAGAAACTAGGAAGGAACATCTGAAGCATTGGTCTGGTGGCTGGTGGTAGGTAGGAATCTCATGCTTTGTTTATGACTTGTGTCTCTTTGGGGTTCACTTGGTACTTTTTTTTTTTTTGGTACCGGGGATCAAACTTGGGTCCTTGCGCTTGTGCCACAGGTGGCGAAACCACTGAGCTAAATCCCTGGCCCCTGGGGTTCACTTGGAAGAGAAGGCACCTGGACCCTCTATGAGAACAGCCTGGGTTAGAAGCAGCCCAACAGATGCTTGGCTTCTTTTAGATCAGTCCAGGAAGATAGGTTGTGACTCATGCTGGGAAGGATTTGTCTTCAGTGTATTCCTGGGGACAACATTTCCACCAGGGTCAAAGTAACTCCTGAAAGCACGTTATTAACTCCCAAGGAAGTAGTGACACTAAGTCCCCGAGAGAGTTCTTAGAAAGCCTAACCTCCTTCATTCTAGAAAAACTAAAATTTCAAACTTAGCTTTATTGTCACTCTGCTGTTTGAAACATACTACTGAGAGGGGCTAAGAGTGACTCCCAAAATGACAAAGAGCTTTGGGATATGTCTCTTTTTTTGAGGTTTAGGGATGCAAAAATATTCTTGTTTTGAAAAGTAAAAATAAAAATATTTTTTAAAGCATGAGAGTGTCTTTAGGGGAGACTAGTCCTGTTCATGACTATGTCACAGGTTGAATGAATCCTCCATTTGACTGAGTCACTATTTTCAGTTCCAAGGAGGACCCTGACATGGCCTGCACACAGGAAAAATGTATGTGTTCTTGTTAATGTCAATGAGTTCCAAGAAGTAATTTAAATTCTCTTTTGGGATATTACGGGGTAAAATGAGGCATATCTGAAACTGACAGTTTCTTGAACATATGCAGATGTCATAACAAAACCCCTTGAGCTGAATGGTGGAGCTCAATGGGAGAATAAAAATGGGAGAGTAAAAAAACAAGACCTAGGGCATTTGTCCTTCTCACTACACAAGTCCTTGGTAAGATAAACTATGAGGATGAAACTGATCCAGTGGCCAGCCCTCTGCGTCAAACATGCTTACTCACAGTTTCAGGGCAAAAAAGCAAACATCACAAAAGCTGTGGTCAAAAGGAAAGAACGAGTGAGGAGAGAGCACATAACTTTTCCCTGTTTTCAGGGAACCTCTCTCAATGCTAGGGACACAGCTGTGAGTCTGGCTTGGCCACTAGGCACATTCTAAACCTATGGGATGAGGTATATCCAGATAGGAACAGCTCCCAGGAACATTTTCTGTATGACTTCTCTTAGTTACTTTTGGTGCTTTTCTGTGTTTCTTCATTTGTGCCCGGCAATATCAGAATAGCAGGGACAGAGCTAATTGGCAAAGAAGAGGAAGTGATCACAGGGCATTTCTGAAATTGGCACAGGGAGCTCCAGAATCTATGTTTAATACATGCCTGCAGGCCGGGGATTTAGCTCAGTGGTTCCGCCACCTGCCTCGCAAGCACAAGGTCCTGAGTTCAATCCCTGGTACCAAAAAAAGCCCAAAACAAAACCAGGCCTGAACAAAAACCTCATGTGCTTCTTGCCCACCAACTTTGCAGAGGCTGAATAAACCTCATGTGACTCTGTAAAAAGCCACCTCCCTGTGTGGCATTTCTGGTGTCTGGTTGGGTTAATATCCTCTGCCTCACACAAGCAAATGCCTAGGGAGCAGAGAGGAGCACACTGGCCTAATGAAGACCACGGTCCTCTCTTCCTGCGTTTTTAAGATACAGGAGCAGGACTTGTCACTGGGTTCACACACTCCTGCTCCTGAGACAGGTCTGAGACACAAATGGTAGTCTCAGGTTGGTTCCTTGTCAATCAGCAGCAGGTCATGACAGAGACTCCTGGGTCTGTCTAGGGAGCAATCATCTTACTGAGAAAATGGAGATGTATAGGGCTTCAGAGATCCTATTCTTCTCTCTGCAGTCATGTGAATCTTAACTCATGTCGTGGCTGAAGCGCCTCTGTTCCTCTACCAGAAACATTAAAACACAGGAGGAGACTGGATATTTTTATCTACAAAGCATTTTGCTTTCAGGGTGGACAAAATTGCTCCTCCACAAAATGACTTGTCATTTGTGGCTGCCTGGGAAATGAGCCATTATATAGTTATGTGTGCTGACTAGGACACTTCTGTGGTGACCCTGGGACCAGGATGGATGGTGAGCATTCCATCACCTGCATCATGATGGACACAGGATGACCCTGGGGTCCTCTGTTGACAAGGAAAACTTACAAGGTGCTGGGAAAACACTTGTTTTGTGTTGATCTGTCTAGTTTCAATCAATCAATTTGGAAAGAGATACTACATTTTCTTTTATACTGAAGGGATGAAGAGCAAGAATGAGGGTGATGAATATGGCATCATTTCAAAGCAGATGGGGGAGAGAGGGAAAAGGGAGGAGGAAGGCGGAAGATCTGAAATATCTGAATGCACTTTTATGCATTAAACTTGCTTTTTCCACTAAGCAGCTTGCTTCTGCTCACTGAATATTGAAATCTAGATCAAACATTCAGTGCTTGCTAAGGCAAAAATGTTTAATTTGGAATCACCTTCTTAGCATCTTGCCTCCATGAATGGGAGGCAGTCCTCACCTTAAATCTTGGCAAATAAGAACAATGGGGGGGGGTTAGGGAAAAGTCCAGATAAAGGACCGAAAGAATAGGTTACATGCTTGAATTTTGTGGGTTCCCTACCTCCTGGCCCCTGTCCTGCACAGGACACGACTCACTGTCTGCTTCTGAGAATGATCCAGATTCATCACTGGAGTTGGTTCCGTAAGACTGCTCACATTTAATCTGGGGTCGGACTTGGTTGTACATTCCATCTCCCATCAGGCCTGGCTCCTGATGTTCTGTGGCAAGGAATCTGGCTCCCTGGGAACAGGGTGAGGAGGAGAACTCACAGAGAGGGAGGCTGCAGGGTGAGCCCCCACTCCCATCCTCTGCGTAGGAATAGGAGGAGCAAGAGCTGGAAGTCCTGGTCCTGGTCTCCAGCGGGGGTGAGCGAGGGCAGACTTTGATTGGCACCGGGCAGCTGGTGTTGGGCCGCATCCTTCCTGGCAAGTGGTCAGCCATCAGCCCACTGTGGGAGTAGGCCTGTGAGCTGGGGAGGGACTGGCCAGCTCCCACCCACAGACCCTTTGGCACCGGCTCGGAGAGGTCTTTGTCTAAACTGCTCGCCCCCGAATATGAATGCACTGAAGTGCTCACTTGGTCACATGTGCTAGAGGAGAAGATCACACTTCTCCGGTCCAGTTCTCCCTCCTGTTTACAGAGAGCCTCCAACCCAGGTGCCCTGAGGGGCGACCCCATCGTGAAGTTGGATGTGTCCTTCTGGCCCACATGGGGCTGTCCGTAATTCCCTGTGAAAGGGGTATAGTCAGTTTTAAGGTCACCCTGAGTGATCCCCTTGTCAAAAGGGCAAGCTGAACTCCTGGCAAAGTGCTGCTGAGATGTACTGGGCAGGCCAGACAACTCCACACCTTTTGTTATACTGAACAGAGACCTTAAGCAGGAAGGCGAGGACACGCTCCTGGATCTATCCAGGCAGGTGGCTCCAGTAGGAGTGGTAGGGGCAGGGGCAGGGCTGGGTTGCCTGCGGTCCATCTCAACATCTGCTGCTCTCTCCTTGATGTCAGGTTCATCTCCAGACAGGCAGAGCGTGATGCTCTCTTCCTCGTTCTCTTCACTGGGTGGCTCACTTTTAATTTGCTCCATGGCAAGCCCTGGCTTAAGGCTGTTGCCAGGGTTATCTTCGTTGAATGTGCTTGCAAAACCTGAGGTACTGTGTGATGATGCATTATAGACATTCTTGGTACATGCAAGCTGGTATTTCTTGTATCTGGGGTACTGTGTCAACGCATCCTTTTCTGAGCTTTCCTTGGGGTCTGTGGGTATGTCGGACTCGGGTAGCAAGGCTTCTTCCTTCGCTGCTACTGGGATGTTAGTGGCCTCAAAACTGATGGGGTCTGGAAGCATCTGGTCCCTGGGGCAAGCCATTTTGGCTGTCTCTGAATCCATCGTCTCCTCCTCTTCCTCCTCTTCCTCTCCTGCAGAGTTCTCATGGTCCTCATGTGGGCGCTGGCATGCAGTGTCCTTTCGGCACACAAACAGGCCATCCTCGCTGTTCAGGAGCTGGGTCTGCAGGAAGCTGAAGCAGGAGTCCTCCAAGTTGTGCATGCGCAGGAACTCAGCACAGCGGATGACCTCGCGGATGTTTTCTCTGCTGAGTAACAGCTTGGCAGTGTAGGCAAACTGTAACAGTGGCCCAAAGCCCCTGGCCGTGACCTGCAAAACAAACAGGGAAATTGCCAACATTACCATCAGCATTGCGATTGTCCCAAATCTCTCAACTGAAGCAAGATAACCAGACAGTGCTAATGTCCCAGAATAAAGACTGCAAAGGAGCAGTTAATCTTCTACTGGGTCAGCAATGGCTGCTTCCCATAATTAGTGCCTGTCTCACCCATGCCACTGCTATACTTGATCACAGCACAAGCACAATTGAAAATCACCAGGGTCAAGTGACTAAACAAGATGACAACGGGTTCAGTGTTTACGCTAATGAAATATCCTGGCAAAAATGCATGGAACAATGGGAAGCCTATTAATTTCCTTCCCAATCAGTCCTGTTGAGAGCCATTCTACACAAGAGGGAATGCTGTGACACTTCTTGCAGTTCCCTCGAGCAAAAGAAAACATTATCATTTTCTTGTCATCCACAAAACAGGCAAGATGGCCCTGTTAAAAACTCAAAGTCCATAGTATTTCAAAAACAGTTTTTTCTCACTTTTAATGTTAAAGGCAACATTAAAAACAACTGTTTTGCTCATCCATCATGGTTCTGCTTGGAACTTTCAATCATCATGTCATACCTGATGTTATAATGATACCAGCGATGATAACAATCAAAAGCAATGTTCTCAACAAGAAATTGACTCCTGGCCCTTACAGAATGAGGGTTAAAAAGCTAAGCAAACTGGCTGTCATTTAAATAGTTGAATCTGCTGAGTGGTGTAAGACATGGGCTATTCTTTAATTATTAGCAGCAGCTTTACTGTGCAGCTGTCTTCTTTCCTAGTAAATCTTCAGGGGCTAAGCCTACTGTCACTTGCTACTTATCTATTACATCTTACACAGACTGAAAATGTGGCACACATGCACAGCCTGCATGGACACGTGTATATGCACACATAACAACTTAGACAATTAAAAATATCTTGCCTAAGGGCAATTGTTTTTTTTCTTCCCCAGGAGGGATAGTTTAAACTTCCTGATGTTCAGGGTAGGCTTCCTGACCCTGTATATAATATTACACATACTCTATGTTCTTGCAAGCACCGCTATGCTCACAGGAAGAAGAGGCAGGTCTACAAATCATGTGTACAAACCAAAGGAAAGCAGTAATCATGGGGTCTTTGCTGGAAGCTGTGGTAACAGTGATAACAAATTTCTGCTGGAGGAATGAGTGCAAGAACAAGGTTAACTAGTAGGTTTTATATCTAACTCCTGTGTGTATTAAACTCACTGTAGTACACAGAACCAAAACTCTTGCAAGGACCTGTATCTGTTTTTCAAGATTCAGCTTGGACATTATCTCCTCCAGGAGTCCTCTCCAATTCTCTTATAGTCAGAATGAAACATCCTGGATTCTCCAGGGAGTGCTGATCTTCTATAACTGCATTCTTTCCAGTAAGGGAAATTTTTTAGATATACAGCTGAATAGGATTTTATTTTATTTTATTTATATATTAATTGGTACATTTTAGGTATACAATACATTTACATTTATCATTGGGTGTTTGTACCTGAACATGATGTATCTTAGTTGAATAGGATTTAAAATGTTAATATTTTTGAAGTACCTAAATAAAAATTTGTGCCAGATAATGAGTCCAGAGTATTTGGTTACAACACCTAACAAACAAAAATCCAATTCTGCTAGACCCATTATAGCAATCATTTCTGTCTACTTTTAATTATACTTAATCCGACCATGAGGCAGCAAGGTCCAGATCAAGGTAGCTTCATTTTTCTCCATAACCCTGAGTCTGACCTAACCTGGGGTCACTAATGTGGTATTTGGCTAAAGCTTGTATGCTACTGAATATGCCATAAATGTGCCCTAACACACAATTATCATGTACAAAAGGCAACAACACAGGCTGGTTACTGAAAGTTGTCTCAAGTTACCTTTGGCGCAAGGCATCATGTCAACCAACCAACCCAATTATTCAACAAAAGGCAAGCAAGGGTCCTCATTTGTCCTGTCCCTAAGTACCAACACCAAAATACAGCTCAGTTGGGCATGGTGGTGTATGCCTATAATCCCAGCACTCAGGATCCTTCCTGGCAGGGGGATTGTCATGAGTTTAAGGCCAGCCTGGGCTACATAGTGAGTTCAAGGCCAGCATGAACTACATAGCAAGACCCTGACTCAAAAAACTGAAAGAAAAAAAAAGTAGTTCATTTGACCTACACTTTTGTATCCTATTAAGCTGACACAGTAATAGATTCAGTGAATGTAGTACCTACCATGTCTGTTTCTCCCAGGAACTTTTAAAAGAGAGTAATAAAGTAAGGAGTTATGTATAAGTTGGTATCTAAAGAAGGAGATAAAAATGTTCCATAATCTATTTTTTTATCACAGCATGGCTCCACCACAAAAGAGAGAAACAGCAGAATGAAGGCAGAATTGACTCTCCCATAAGTAAACATCTTCCACATACTCCTAGGCAATTTGCCAGTTGCTGAGTGAGTAGATGAATACACATTATAAGCTTTGGCAAATGTGCTAACTATATTGGAATTGTGGGAAATTGATCTCAATACTACTTATACTTTTCATTCGCTCCTTTTCATATGCTCATTCTCATCATCATTTCTTATTTATTTTGATGTTGTTGGTTTTAGCGAGCCCTATTATTTCCCACTATAGTCTCTTTTAAGGAAAATTAATAAAGAAGCCAGGGACACCCATGGGGATCTTCAGATCAGGAGCCAGTACTGGGAGTTACAGAAAAGCATTGATGCTTAAATGTCTAGGTTGGACTGAAGATGTCAGAGAACAAAGTGTCCACATTACAAATCAATGACACTGCTCAGAGCACTGGGACTCTTTGGGCTTAAGGAAACAGACTGAGTGTGCAGTAACTGTCACATGGCCATGAAAGAGTCAGGGAAAACTGGTTTGGAACAGGCAAAGATGCTTCCTGTCCTAGTCAAAGCAAACAGGAAAAAGAAATACAAGAGAGACAGGTAGGAGTTAAATTGTTCCTGTTCTCAGATGACATCATCTTATATGTGGAAAACCTACATGATTCCACCAAGAAACTGTCAAAACTGATAAACAAATTCAAGAAAGTTATAGGACACAAAATCAACACACAAGAACCAGCAGCATTTCTATATACTAACAGTGAATTATCTGAAAAAGAAACCAAGAAAACCATTTCATTCACAATAGCTACAAAAATATTTAGAAATAAATATACAAAGGAGGCAAGAGACTTCTACAATGAAAGCTAAAACACTGATGAAAGAAATTGGAGACAGGGCCGGGGATTTAGCTCAATGGCACCATGCCTGCCTCATAAGTGCAAGGTCCTGAGTTCAATCCCCAGTACCGCCAAAAAAAAAGAAGAAAAAAGAAATTGGAGACATAAATAAATGGAAGAACATTCTGTGTTCATGGACTAGAAGGATTAATAATGTTAAAATGTCCATACTATCCAAAGCAATCTATGGATTCAATGTAATCCATATTTAAATACCAATAACATTATTTACAGAACAGAAGAAACAACCTTGATATTTTCACAGAGAAGCTAGGCACAGTGGTGTGTGCCTACAGTCTCAGCTATTTAATATGCTGAGAAAGGAGGACTGCTTGCACCCAAAAGTTGGAGGTAAGCTTGGGCACAGAGTAAGACCCTGTCTTTTAAAAAGTTTGTATACAACTAAAAAGATCTCAAATAGCCAAAGCAATTAGAGCAAAAAAAAAAAAAAAGGTAGGAGGCATTATACTACATGACTTCAAAAGTGTTACAAAGCTGTAGTAACTGAAGCACCATGGTTCTGGTATAAAACAGAAATACAGATTAGTGGAACAAAATGGCCAAGAAATGAAACCATGTATTTAGAGCGAGCTAAATGAAACCATGTATTTAGAGAGAGAGCTAATTTTTGACAAAAGTACTAAGAACACACAGTGGGGAAAGAGCAGTTTCTTCAAAAACTAGTGTTGGGAAAACTGGATGTTTACATGCAGAAGACTGAAGCCTGACCTCTATCTCTCACCAAATATAAAAATCAACGAAAATGGATTAAAACCTTAAATGTATGATTTGAAATTATGAAACTAAGAAAGAATAGGAAAAAAGTACTGTGACACTGGTCTGGGCTATGCATATATATATATATAAATAAAACCTCAACTATGTTGCCTCATATGTTCTGGACATGAGGTAACATAAGCAAAAATAGAAAAATGGGACTACATACAAATAAAAATCTTCTACACATCTAAGAAAGCAACAGACTGAAAAGATAATCTACAGAATAGGACAAAATTCTGCATGCTATGTATTTGATAAGGGGTGGTGACAATATATTGTATTCTTAAAGAATACCAAGAGTGTAGATGTTAAGTGTCCTCATCACAAAATGGTGGTAACTACAATGCATTTAATGAGCTAGATTTAACCATTCCACAGACTACACATACTTCAAAATATTATGCTGTACATGAAAAATATACACAATTTAAAAATTAAATTCATAGGGCCAGGGATTTATCTCAGAGGTGCCACACCTGCCTTGCAAGGTCCTGAGTTCGATCCTCAGTAATGAAAAAATAAATTTAAGAAAAAAAGATGGGTTTATAAACTGTCATTCAAGTTCAAGGGCAGAGGAGATGCTGTCTTCAATGCAAAATTTCAAAAGCCCATAACTAGCTGTTCTTCCACATTAATTTAAATCCATCTTTGCCATATTCAAATCTGCAAAATTTTGCTCAGCTTCTATATACAAGGCTTTGTGTAGTGAGTCATAGTTATTTATCAAGCAACTCCTAATGCCCAGCACTTTGCTAGCAGGCTCTTATAACACTCTGCAAGGCAGCTGTGGCAGCTTCTATTTTTTTAGATAAGAAAACTGAGCAGAGAGGTGAAAGAATTTATCCAAGGTCATAGAGCTGGCAGACAGAGAGTTGGGACCCTAACCCAAGGCCATCTGACTCTTCTTCCTACACTAAGATCTGTGAGGGATGGACATGAACAGGCCTTAGC